GGGCGTGCTTTCCTGGTGCTCCTTGCAGGTGGCTCGCTTGGCTCAGGGAAGAGACAAGTGAGCATTCTTAGCACATTCTCGTGGTCAGGAAAGGTATTGTAAGAGAAGACCAAGGATTCGCATTTCCTCAGCAGGGCCCCCTGTAACCAGCCAGACCTGGAGGGCGGAATCTTGTTTGTCGAAACACCTACCCAACAACCCCTTGGAAAGGATTCACTTTTGGAGCAAAGTGAACGCGACTGCTGCTGTACGCTGTATGGTGTATAACACAGTCCGCGTTCTCGTCCCTTCCTATTTGCTTAACCACTTTCTGTTTGCTGGACTATGACTGGTAAGCGACAGAAATGCAGTCATGTAACATCTAATAGACATGGGGTTTTAAGGTGAGTGGAAGTCACTACAAAAGTAGAATTTCAGATACATTTTTCCATTGAAAAGAATTAATATAGGAGTAAATTTATATTACAGTTTACTTACGGCCCTTTTGCTCTCAAGCTTTTGCAAAGCAAGGTTTTATGAACATGAATATTGAAAAGAAAATGAGTGTTAAGACCAAAACTTGTGATAATAGGAAATGTCAGTTGTGTTTTAGATTTCAAAATTTATGGTACATGTAAGGTTGTTTAGTTCCCGCATTCACGAAACAGAGGAGATAATGTGGTTATATATAATTAATCACAAAGCCCAAATAGTACATCTGGCATATTTGTGATGAATAGTTTGTTCTTTAGTGACGTGTAGCCCAAGAAACACTCACTGGGGACAACTGTAAATAACTCTGTGTAATGGCTGTTATGGAAATCTAGTGATCTGGTTTTAGGAAGTGCATGGGGGGGGAAGAGAGCTTTATCTAATACATTTTTAATGGCAATATTTCCATTTGGTTAAATTGCTGTCATAAAGGTGGATTTTTTTGTTGTTAGTTAGCCAATTCTAAGTATCTATCTTTAGTCTTTTGGGAAATGTGCCCAGTAAGTAATAAATGGGATATTTATAATAGCCAGGCAGAGGCAAATGTTCTAGAAAGATGGGAGGCTGAAAAAATCCAGATTTGTTAGGTGCACTGGTTGCTGCAGTTGAAGCCGTGGAATTACATTTCCATTTAGCGGTTAGTGAGATAGATGTTAAAGAAATAGATGCCTGTCTCCCACTTAAGTGGTTGAACATCAGGCATCTCAGACCTATTTGAAAGAGAATTTAAGTCACACTGAACTCTAATAAACCACAAAAATAACCCCAGAAAGCAAGGTAAGGAGGACTTTAAACAATAAAGATGTATAAATGCCTCCCCTTCACAAGAACATAGCGTGTTTCTACACTTGCCTTTGCAGGCTGCATCTTCAAAGCTGACACTACAGCCAAGAGTAACCCGTGAGGGTCTTTTCACCAGTAAAAGGACAAAAGTAGAATCTGAAATTTGGTCTCTTCAGATCCTGTGTGATCTGGTCTTTCTCTAACAGAACAGGTAATTTTTATCTTTAAAATAGCTTTTCAAAAATATTTTAACAACTAAATATCCCTCTTGAAGAATCAAGCTTCAGAGAAGACCGCTGATTTTTTTGAGCAATAATTGTCTGAGCTTTGTAAGAGAATTCCTTAAGAACTGGCAGACGGTTAATTAATTCCTTAGTTAATAATTAACAAGTTCATTATTTAGTAGCCACTGATGATACTAAATCATCTATGTTTGTAAATAAAACTTCTTTCTCTTTACATAACCTTGCATTTAATACCAAACATCTGCAAATAAAGATCTGAAAGAGTCATATTAGATTCTAAACATTTAAGAAATGTACGCTGTACTTTCTGTGGCCTTACTCAAGGCACTCCTCGTCATTATTTTGTAAAGACTTCATGTGGAGTTCTACTTTTATGAATTTCCTTTTAACAATAACATGCTTAAACCTCTTTGGATGAGTTAGCAAAAATTTAGGGGTTTGAATGAATAGAAGAGGAGGAGCATATGAGGAGAAAGAAAACTGTAGCTTTTGTTTGGTGGCCTCAGCAAATCAATTTTCTGAATCTCTATGAAAATGTGCATTATCGCATTATTTTTCAAGTAAATGTGTGCTGGGGCTCTTACCTTGATTTCCTCATAATGCTGTCTTTGTTGCGGTGAGGCTCTCTGTGCTAGGGAGTGCTGATGTGACACAAGTGTAGAGAATGAAGCACGTGGCTTGGGACACTGAGGGAGAGGCAGGCGTAGAGGCCACCATGGCTTTCTGCGTGGTGCATGTATCGGAGGGCTGGGTGCAGGGGTTCATGAGGTAGCATTGAGTGGATTTGACTAGTAAGCCATCTGTGCAGGCTGTTGTGGAGATGGAAGGAGAAAAAATAGAACAGTGATCTTCACCTTTTCCAAACCTCTCTTTGGTGATCTGAAGCCTGCTGAGAAAAGGCTTGCTTGTCTTTGTGACCTCTGATGGACGTCAGTGGAGTGCTCTGTGGAATGCAGTCTGAAAATCCCTAGGCTACTTAGAGGAGCAGCAATGAAGAGAAAAACCCAACAACTGGAGGTTCAAGATTCTTTTGAGGCAGAACAGTGATCTTCACCTTTTCCAAACCTCTGTTTGGTGATCTGAAGCCTGCTGAGAAAAGGCTTGCTTGTCTTTGTGACCTCTGATGGACGTCAGTGGAGTGCTCTGTGGAATGCAGTCTGAAAATCCCTAGGCTACTTAGAGGAGCAGCAATGAAGAGAAAAACCCAACAACTGGAGGTTCAAGATTCTTTTGAGGTGATGAAGTCATTTACATTAATTATAGCTGCTTGTTTTTAATGCCAATATTCCATTTTTGTTCAGTTGTTAGGAAGGAAGAAAACAGAAAAAGGAGTATTTTGGGAAAAGGAGGCGATGGTAAGGTGGGCAGACTGACTAATTCTTGCTCTTCTGTTGGCTCCTGATTGGCTCCAAGCCCACCAAGGATGAGACAGGCTTGCTTTGCAGCAATGTTGATGCTCCGCTTTTTGCAAGAAAGCTAGAGGGGAAACTGGGAATCTGCCTGTTCTACAAGCAGACTCCAGTTTTCAAAGCCATGTAAATGGAAGAAGAAAACTCATCTTTTGAGTTTCATGTGGATGCCTTCAAATTTCTGTGGCATGTTACGTTCTAAAAGCAAGGAAGCGGTTCCTAGTTCTCTCTGAGACTGAAACACACCCTAAAATTCTTTACAAAAGATCCAGCTACATGCTTGCACTCAGGAGTTGTATTTAATAAACCATCAGCTGCACTGATTACCTTATGTTCACTATGAACTGTGAAGCATAGTTGTACTGTACCAGATGGGATTGCTTACAGATGCACAAAAGGAACATCGTTCTCAAGCGTGGTGAGTATTTGTTCCCAAGACCGATATCAGTTTTCTTAACAACCAAGCTAGCAAGTGACATGCCTTTGGCCAAATTCAAATTCACACAACAAGAGAGAGATATTTTTGTTTCCAAGTCAGGAAGGCATTTAAAATGTATAATTGGCCAAAAATCACAAGGAGTGTTGTGCAACTTACTCTGCTTACTAGGCTGCAGATCATTAAAGACGTAAAGGACCGTGAGACCTATTGCTGGGAGACAGCAAAGCTGTGTTTGCTGGCCCATAAGGTATGCACGTAGCCAGCAGAGCAGGAAATCCGAGCTGAAGTTCACATTTTGTTAGTCGTTACAAACCCTGCTGCTTGGACCTCGCTGGAATCCAGCTTTTAGGATAGAATCTTTTAGGAGAATCTTAGAAGAATCTTTTAAGCGTCTGGGTCGGTGGTAGGTATGTGCAGAAGCTGGAGTTTGGTATAAGTAAGGAGGTTAGCCAAGACAGCCTGCCCCTAAGGAAAGGCAAAGGAGAAGTCTCAGTCTCTCAGTCATCTTTTCTTGCATGTTGAAAGGAGTCTGAAGGA